AAGACCCGCCCTGTCTAGCTAGCCGTTTCTTGGGCCTCGGCCCGCCCCTCCCTGCTCAGACCCCGCCCTCTCCTACCAGGCCCCCTCAGCTCAGGCCCTTCCAGCCGGAACCCCTCCCTTTCTGTGCCCTACGCCCCGCCCTTTCCGTTTCGTAATCCGGAAGAGTCTAGACGTGCTCCTTCTAAAGCCTTCCGGCCTGCCATCGCGCTCCAGCTAGTTTGGCCCTATGCCAGTGCGTCCGCACACCGTAGCTTGAGCCGGGGATTTTCCGGTAGTGCTGTAACAGCTTCCGGCGCTGGCCCAGTGTTGATAGACTTCATCTGACGCCGGGCCGCCTTAGAGGTATCGGAGGACTTCTGTATTTGTTACGGTAACCTCTTCAGCCCGCCAAAATGGCGATGCAAGCGGCCAAGAGGGCGAATGTGAGTACCGGGCTTTCTGCGCGGGCGAGACGACCTGGTTGCTTGATTCTCAGCGGCGAGGACCGAGTTCTTGTCCTCCGCCCACCGGCGAGGAAGGCCATTTCCTATTCCATCTGAGGGAATTCTGTCCTGGCCTCGTCCTCAAAGATATGCGCCTTGAGCGACACCCTCCCCCTCCTCCCGCATAGAGAATTTCCTAGTGTCAGAGACCGTGTTGGCTCTACAGCCCCTGTTGTTTGACCTGCGCCTAGGACCGGGCGTTAGGATCTTCGGGGGTCTAAAAAGTCGATAGAACAGACATACTCTCAGTAAGTAAATATATGGTTCACTGCCAACTCGAGCCTGGGATTCGGCCCACATGTAAAACTTTGGGGATGCTCTTGTGATCCAGCAGTAATATTTGATCACCTACTCCATACTTGGTTTTCCAGATGTATATGGTTTTTATCAGTTGTATTTTTTGAACACCTGCTATGTGCTACACAGGTGTTGGGGACACTATCAGTGGACGTTTTATTGTCTTTTTTTTCCTGAGGCAGTAAAGGTTTTTAAGTGAAGTGGAAAATTTCTGTTAGTCTTCGGTTTTATTTGTTTTGTCTTTCCCTGTGCCTCCTGCTGGTGTTTTTCTGAAGAGCATGCTTCATAGCATCAAATTATATACCTCTTGTTCTTGGCTGCTTACTGTGGATCATTGAGCTTTTTAATGGTAGCACTGCTATCATCATATAATGATGGCACATCTTTCTCATTTTAGATTCGCCTTCCACCTGAAGTAAATCGGATTTTGTATATAAGGAATTTGCCATACAAAATCACAGCTGAAGAAATGTATGATATATTTGGGAAATATGGACCTATTCGTCAAATCAGAGTGTAAGTCTTACTGAGACTTTGGAAATGTCATTTAAAGGAAATGATTGTACAATCTGTAATTTCAGAATTGTAGTTGGTAGCAAGGCTGCCCTGTAGTATGTAGTGATGTATCTGTTTTATAGGTTAGACTACCAAGGCCTAGAGAGTAAAAGTTCCTTTCTAGTCTCTAGTGTTTAGTGATAAAATCTTCTCTAACTATATATTGAATCTCGATACTACATAGTACCTGGACTTTTACCACTTGAGTCCCTCTAAAAGGAATTCTAAAGTTTTTATTTTTAGTCACAAGTTCCCTTCTTGAACCTAGCTCTTTGAAGGAAGAGGCACTATAAGTTTAGTGCCTGCCACATAGGAAGAATGTGGCGTGATTGTTGAATAAATTCATAGAAGTTTGGAACACTGGAGCCTGGATCTTAATTACAGGTTGAAAAACAACTATTTTATTCCCTCACTGTGCTCAAGCTCTGTTGTATATTTGCACCTAGTACTGTGGTGACCAGCCTTCCCAGTTTACCCAGGACTAAGTTTCTAGAATGGGACTTGCATGTTAAAATCTAGCCAGTCCTTACAAGGATGATTGATGACTGTACCTGATATGTAGCAAACACTTGGTACTTTGTGTTCTTTAGAGCCTTTTATATTGTTATCTCTTTTAGTATAATCACTGGTAAGATAGGGCAAATGATATAGTCTGATATCACTATGTGATGTGAAGCAGCCAAAACTTAAAAGGCTAAATTGTGCAATGAGACTTTTAATTCCTCTTTTTATCACCAATCAAGAAAATAAAGTGGAGGGCTATAGAGATAGCTCATTGGGTGAGTTTACTTGCTGCTTGTGGCTGGAGAGATGGCTTAGCAGTTAAGAGTACTGGCTGCTCTTGGAGAGGACCAGGGTTCGAGTCCCAGTACCCACATGGCAGCAAACAACCGTATGTAACTCCAGTTCTAGGGGAATCTGACACTCCACAGGTACTGTAGGATACAGGTGCACTTACATAACGCACAGGCAATACACTCATATAAAATTAAAACATACAAAAGAATTTTTTTTTTTTTTTTAAAAAGAGTACTTTCTGCTCTTGCAGAGGACCCAGGTCCGGTTCCTAGCACCCACATGGCATCTCACAACCATCTGTAACTCCAGTTCCAGGGCATCTGATTCCTTCTTCTGGCCTCCGGAGGCATTGCATGCATGTGGTGTACCTTACATACATGCAGGTACAACACTCATACATAAAATAAAAATAAATAAAATCTTTAAAATAAAGAAAATAAAGTTAGCTCAGTGCCTAATACATGGCACATTCCAAATGCATGCTTTTAAAAGTTTAAATTATATGGTTTTCAAGGCATGAGGTTGATTAGGGCTAGGACCATTGAAATGAAGTCTTTAAAATGGGGTTATGAACTGGTAGTATAGCTCAGTAATAGAGCATTTGCCAAGTATTGCAAGGCCTGGGGTTTAATCCCTAGCACTGAAAAAAAAAAAAAAAAAACAACCAAAAAACTGGGGGGAGAAGTACTCCTGTTTCTCTTCTTACTTCCAAGGAAGTTTGTGGGGTTAAGAGAAATTATGACATGGGAGCACTGACCCTAGAAGCAGGGCACATCAGAGTAAGGTCCAGCTACTGCTCCCAGCCACCTTCCAGCATTCTACTCTGGCTCACAGCTAACTCCACCCACCAGTCCAGTTCTGCCCTCTTACCAAAAGCCCTTTCCCCAGCCCAGCAGAGTTATGTAATAGCTTAGAGCTTCCTTTAGTTTAAAAATGGATGTTTCAAAGTAGACTGACTATATTGCATTCTATAGAGGCAAAGTATCTTATGAAAAGTTAAAGCCAAGTATGGTGGCACATGCTTGTAATCCTAGAACTCAGAAAGCTGAAGCTGAGGGATCATGAGTTTGAGGCCATCCTGGCTGTACAGCAAGACCCCTTCTCAAAACAAAAACAACAGCAGCAAAACCAAACAACAAATTATAGACTCACACCTATAATCCCAGTACTTAGGAGGCTGAGGTAGGAGGATTGAATTGCTGCTAGTTTAAGGTCACCCTGGGCTACATAGTAAATCTCTGGCAGGTCTGGGTGTGGCCCTATCTCATAAAATAAAATGAAAAAAGTAGAATAGATTAACTCTGTTTACATTGTAGAGCAGCCTTTTTTGGTCATAAAGGATGACGATTTTTTTCTAAATTCCTGACTTCTTGGTAGGGGTTGTCTTTCTCCCCGCTTCCTATCAAACGCAAAATAGTCTTATTTTTATGGGTTTAAAAAGCATATAAATATCAGTTAAATATTGCATATAAATATTTATGACCTTTGTCATAGATTGTCCTGTTTTTAAGAATGCAAACTAGGGCCAGTGCATTGACTCATCAAGTAGGGGTGCTTGTGTGTAGACCTGACAACTTGAGTTCAATCCCTAAATCTCACAGGTGGCAGGAGAGAACCAGTTATTCAGAGTTGTCCTCTGACCTACACCTACACACTGATAAAAATAAAACTTAAAAAACATTTTAAGGAGAATTCAAACTGTATGCTTAGCATGGTGACATACACTATAATCTTGACATTCAGGAGGCTGAAGCAATAAAGGAACTTGAGTTTGAAGCTAAGTCTAAATAAGTAAATAGATGCTAGAGATGATGGATGAATGGATGGGTATCTGGCATCTTTAATTCAAAGTACTCCAAAATCTAAATCTTTTTAAGATGCTCACATATACTGAAAACGCTTTGGAGTTTGCAGTTTGGGTTTTTTTTGGATTGGGAATGCTCAACAGATAAAAGTCCATGCAAGCACTGTAAAATCTGAAACACTTCTGGCTGAAGTCATTTTTAGATAAGAGATACTCAACCTGCCAGGTGGGATGGCCTTTAATCCCAGCATGAGGGAGGTAGAGGCAGGTAGATCTCTGTGAGTTCAAGGCCTGGTCTACATAATAATTTCCAGTCCAGCTGGGGCTACTACAGGGAAATCCTGTCTCAAAAAAAAAAACACCCTCAACTTGTATAATTAAATTAGGATAACAAGAAAAATACTTTTAGAAACAAGTGACTGTGCTTGATGACTAAGAAGTCATCAGTCCTAAGTACTGTATTTTCTAGTTCAATACTGAAAAGTTATTGTTGGTATGAGAAATAGGGAAGACTAAAAATGAAAGCTGGAGAGATGGCTCAGTGGTTAAGAACACTGGTTATTCTTGTAGAAGACCCGGGTTTGAATCCCAGCACCCACATGGCAGCTAACAACTGTCCGTAACTCCAGTCCCAGGGGATCCAACAGCCTCTTCTGACCTCCACGGGCATTGCAGGACATGGGTGCACTTACGTACATGCAGGCAATACATGCATACACATTAAAAAAAAAAAGTGAACATAAAGAGTTTGATAGTTTCAGCCTACTCGGCTGCTAACCTTAAGTAGCTATAGATACTTTACTTAAAAGCAAAATTATCTAATTCAAAAAATTATAGGCTTGGGGCTGGAGAGATGGCTCAGCAGTTAAGAATACTGGTTGTTCTTGCAGAAGACCCAGGTTCAAATCCCAGCACCCACATTGAGCAGCTAACAGCTGTCCATAGCTCCAGTTCCAGGGGATCCGACAGCCTCTTCTGTCCTCCATGGGCGTTGCACAACACTGGTGCACTTACCTACACGCAGGCATAACACTCATACACATAAAATAAAAATAACAAAATATCTTTTAAAAATTATAGGCTTATCTAGCATATCTATTCATACTTCCTCTGGTATTTTTCAGATTTATTTCCAAATACTTAAATAGAACATACTTCTATTTTCTTCAAAAGATTCTTGTGGGCAGGGGCTGGAGAGGTGACTCAGTGGTTAAGAACACTTCAAGAGAACCTGGATTTGATTCCCAGGACCCACATGGTGACTAACAACTATCCATAACGCTAATTCCATGGGCTCTGACACCCTCTTCTGGCCTCTATGGGCATTGCATGCAAGCGGTATACTTACATGCAGGCAAAACACTCATACACATAAAATAATTTTTTTTTTCTTCCACCGGGTGTGGTGGCACACACCTTTAATCCCAGTGCTCGGGAGGCAGAGACAGGCGGATTGTTGTGCGTTCAGGGCCAGCCTGGTCTACATAGTGAGTTCAGGTCAGCTGGGACTACAGGGAGACCCTGTCTGAAAAAGACAAAAAAAAAATTTTTTTTTAAGCCAGGCATGGTGGCGTACACCTTTAATCAATCCCAGCATTCAGGAGGCAGAGGCAGGTGGATCTCTGTGAGTTCAAGGCCAGACTGATCTACATACTGAGTTCCAGACCAGCTGAGGCTACAGGGACACTCTCTCAAAAAGAGCCCCCCCCCCAAAAAAAAGATTTTTTTTTTTTTAAACAAGGATAGGGATGTGGCTCAGGGGGCACTTGGCATAGCATGCTTGAGGCCCTACATTCAAAGCCCAGCAATGCAAAAAAAAAAAAAAAAAAAAAAAAAA